ACTTTTATTTTTGAAAATATATATATATATATATATATATATATATATATATATATATATTATTTCCCCTGTTTTATTATTAAGTCTTTAATGGTGTTTAATCTAGTTTTTTTATTATTTTTTAGCAATGAAAAAAGGTAAAACTTGTTCTCAAAGCATTTGCAACTTTCTGAAAAACAGAACACTGCAATAAAAAAATTGTGCAAAATAAAAATAAACACTGCAATATTAAAAAAGTACAAAATAAATCATAAAAATGAACACTGCATGCACTAATAGAAAATGCAAAATAAATAATAAAAATAAACGCTGCAATAATAATAAAAAAATACTGCTAAAAACACACTGAAATAACAAATGACGTATTAAATAACTTTTTCTAAACACTGAAACGATTGCAATAATAATACAAAAAAAATAGTGCACAATAAAAATGAAACTTTGTTAGCTGTGTCTCAGCTCTTTTAATATCTCATAATCCTCTGATCGATCTGTAATGAGTCTTTCTGATGCGTGCTGTGATTTATGATGCTGAAGGCATGTGACAGAACGCTTACAGCTTGTTAAAGGTGTTTGGAAGCCTGAGGAATGGTTCAGTGAGAGAGATGAATGATTATGCGTCTGCCTCATTTGTCCACACTGGTCCGTGGTTCAGTGTTGTAGTTAAGGGCCCCTCAGGGGCCGTCTGTCATGTGTTTCCATTGATAAAGACGAGCAGAGACACCGCAGAGCTCCACACACTGCATGAGCAACAGCGCCTCCTGCTGATCAGGAAAGTCAGCTGCTTTGATTCACAATGCAAACGCTACACTTCACATTTTGCTGTCACAAATGTATGACTCTTTTTTATTTTGCACTATATTATTGCAGTGTTTATTTTTACTTTCCACTTTATTATTTCTGCATTGATTATTTTTATTTTGCACTTTTTGCTATTGCAGTGTTTGTTTTAATTTTTGACTTTGCACTGTTTCTTTATTATTGCAGTCTTTTTTTCAGTGTTTGCAGAAAGTTTGTTTTTTATTTTGCATTATTGTTTTACTACCGCAGTGTATATTTTTAGTTTTTATTTTGCATTTTAATATTATTGCATTGATTAAATCTATTTTAATTTTTATTGTTTTATTATTTCAGTGTTTATTTTTCTTTTTAATCACATTTTTTCCTTGTGTGTGGAAATTATATTTTTTGTTTTGCATTATTTTGTTATTGTTGCATTGATTTTATTTATCTATTCATATTTTCACTGTTTTATTATTGCAGTTTTTCATAGTTTTTTTCTGAGTGTTTGCGGAAAGTTTTTAAAGTATTATTTTTTGCAGTGTTTATTTTTCATTTTATTTTACACTATTTTTATTATTGCAGTGATGTTTATTTCTATTTTGCACTTTTTATTACTACAGTCTTCAGTGTTTGCAGAAGGTTTATTTTGTTTAATTCTTTTTATTTTGCACTTTTTTGATTATTGCAGTTTTTTAGTGTCTGCAGCAAGTGCTTTGGCAACACAAGTTTTTCATTAGATAACTGTATTAAAGCTCCAGAACCTAGATGCTTTTCTTCAAAAGCACAGATAAAATGGTCTTTGTGAAGTGTTTAGTGAATATGAACATGAGTGTGTTTGTTCTGCTCAGAGCTGCTGGATGATTTCTCTGAGGGTCGTGAGTGTGTGAACTGCGGGGCGATGTCCACTCCTCTGTGGCGGCGGGACGGGACGGGTCATTACCTGTGTAACGCCTGCGGTCTCTATCACAAGATGAACGGGATCAACCGGCCGCTCATCAAACCGCAGAGACGACTGGTGCGTTTCACTCACATTCACAACATCATTCTACCTCCGGTCAAAACACTCTGAGACCTGGGAAACTGATACTTTTCTATTTCAACCTTAACATCTACGTATGTCAAATAAATAAGTATAGTACACATAATAAGTAATAGTAAGTATAATACAGTACAGTTCATTAAACACACGTTTTTCATGTTGTTGACCATAATTAATAAGTGGTATAAAATGAAATCATTTGGAGCATGTGAGGACTTTGCTTCAACATTATTTATTGTCTATTTTGAATTTTGTTATATTGAATTTTTTTTTATTATTGCAGGGTTATTTTTTGCATTATTTTTCATTATTACTTTTGTTATTTTTATTATTGCTTTTTTGCATGACTTTTTATTATTGCAGTGTTTATTTTGTTATTTTGCAGTGTTTTTAATTTTTATTTTGCATTACTTTTTAATTATTGCAGCATTTTTTGCACTATTTTTTATTATTGCAGGGTTTTCAGTTTTTGCAGCATATATATTTTTGATTTTGCATTACTTTTTATTATTGTAAAGTTATATGTTTTGTGCAATTTTTATATTTTTTTATTATTGCAGTGTTTTTTTTATTTTGCACTATTTTTATCATTGCAAACTTTAGTTTTTATTTTCAGTGTTTGCAGCAAATTTTATTTAGCAATCTTTTTTTATTATTTCAGTGTTTGCAACAAGTAGATTTTTTTATTTTGCGTTACATTTTATTAGTGCAGTCTTTATTTTTAATTTTTTATTATTATTGCAGTGTTCATTTTTAATTTTGCATTATCTTTTATTGTTTGCAGCAAGTTTATTTTTATTTTGCATTACATTTTATTAGTGCAATCTCTTTACATTTTTTTATATTGCAGTGTTTATTTTTTGTTTTGCACTTTTTAATTATTGCAATGTTTTTAATGTTTCCAGCAAGTAATTTTTTATTTTTTTTGCATTACTTTGTATTATTGCAGTGTTTTTTTTATTTTGCACTATTTTTATCATTGCAAAGTTTAGTTTTTATTTTCAATGTTTGCAGCAAATGTTTTATTTTGCAATGTTTTATTGTTTCAGTGTTTGCAACAAGTTTCTTTTTTATTTCTTTTTTTATTATTTTTTGTTTTGCACTTTTTAATTACTGCAATGTTTTCATTGTTTTCAGCGAGTTCTTTTTTTTTATATATTTTTTTTGCATTACTTCGTATTATTGCAGTGTTCTGAAGGTTTTAATTCAGATTTGAAGACTATGACTGAGCCGCTGGTTTCTGTCTGTCTCCTGCTCAGTCTGCGTCCAGACGGGTTGGTTTGTCCTGCACTAACTGTCAGACGACCACAACCACTCTCTGGAGACGTAACGCAGAAGCAGAGCCGGTCTGCAACGCCTGCGGACTCTACATGAAACTTCACGGGGTGAGACAGACTTAAGAAGATACGTGAATATACTCGGTTTGCTCTGTTATTAGTTGACTTCACCCTTTGGCAATGCAAATGTTCAGTTGTTGTGCCAAAAACTCAGTAGTAACACTGTGTAACCAGCAGACGGAGTCAGAGAATCTCAGAGTTTCTGCTCTTGTGCTCAGGTTCCTCGTCCTCTCGCCATGAAGAAAGAGGGAATTCAGACCCGCAAACGCAAAGCAAAAAACATCAGCAAGTCCAAACCTGGTGAGTGCAGAGAGCTCAGCAGAAAACTCTTGTCATTAGGGTCTCAAGTCAGAATCATGAGCGTGGAATCAGTGATTGTGACCTTTGACCTGTGTGTGATTTGAAGGGTCATCTGAGGGTCAGACGGTGTCCAGTGCTATGAACTCCAGTCCCACAGAAGAACCGTGGCCCATAAAGACGGAGCCGGACACGGCGTCACTCTACACACACCACAACACATCGATGAACACACCGGTCAGAGAACAAAACACACACACACTGTGACCGCACTGCTGCTTTATTAGCATTGTGTAATGAGTGTCATTTATATTGTATTATGAATATTCATTTTTAAGTATTATAATTATTATAATTACTATTATTGCTTATTTTATTTAAACAAAATTAATATTATATATTATTTGTATTTATAAATACTATAGCTAAATATTATAAATGACCGTTTAAATTTTAATTATATTAAATAGTGTGTGTGTGTGTGTGAGAGAGTGTGTGTGAGAGAGTGTGTGTGAGAGTGTGTGTGTGAGAGAGAGTGTG